GGCGGCACAAGGCGCGCGGGATATCACGAGAGTACCAGGGGTGCCATTAGCGGGGTGTGTTTTGCGCCCGGGTCGTGCGATCAACTGCGAGGTTCTCCCCGGCAAAGGGGAGCGAGATCCGGGGTGACGGGGACGAGGAGACGATGGGAGACGAGGAACCCTCTATTGTTACCGCTTTACCCGGCATGCATATTTAACGCCCGCGTTCTCCGCTTTACCCCCTTACCCTGCCATCCCTTTCGTTGATACATACACGGCCGCGCGTAGATGGAGTGTAAGGCCCGCACCTCGGCACCCATTTGAATGAGACTCGGAAATCCATGAACACGGTTTCGATTTTTCGATATTTTTTTGAAAGATTTTTAAACGACAGAGAGAACGTTTTAATTGAGAAATCAATTCATGTCGAATGTGATAAAAAATAATCAATATAATAAATAAAAGATTGAAAATGTATATATATATATATATATATATATATATATATATATATATATATTTGAAGTTAAAAATACTGATCTACTTGCACGAAATTATTATGTTGTGGTAGAATAACCAATGATATCTGAATTTGAATGATTTTCACTTGTGATATATAAATATTAGATATTCTTTCAGTGATTACTTTCAAAGACTACTAATGAATATTTTACTGTCACATCACTTTCAAACTATTACGCAGTAATGCTTTTTCAACAAAAGAGAATTCATTCTAGGTTCAGCTGTTCGCAGTGCTTTTCCTTCTCGTCTATCTTCTTACTTTTTCTCTGCAGAATGACGTTGAGCATTCTTGTTCCAAGGTGCTGAAGAATTAGTCAAGAAGAGAACTCCGCTCACCGCCTTTTTTCGACTTTCCTCCGCTATGACCCCTATTGATCTTTCATTTCCGCGCTCGAGTGCGGCGCAGACAGACGGAAAACATTTGCGAACAGCGGAAACTTAAATTGACTCTATCAGGGGGAGGAGGGAGGGGAGGGGGGCAGAAAAAAAGAAAGGATACCGCGTGCAGCGCTCGACGGTGGCCTTCGCTTTCCGGCAACGAATTCACGCAGCCCGTTATAATTTTACGCGGCCGAGAAAGAACTCTCGCGCTGCTTACAGACGGAATTTGCATATTCAACACCCGCATTCTCTTTCGCGGCTTCTGCCTGCTCTCGGAGTCCTTTCCCTTCTCGCTGCCGCCCCGCTGCTTACCTTTGCTCGCCCGTTCGTCTTGCTTTAATTCCCTCTCGTCCCGAATCTCAGCTGCTTGCGTTCGCCGCCAAACGCCACAAATGCAAGCGTACGTTGAATATAGGTTCAGAAGCTCGCATTCCCGCTGAGATCCTATTCAAGACACAAATCAAGTTACATGATAAAATCTATTGTACTGAAATGCCGAAGTGTCATAAATACTTAACTAGTTTGAATATTTTATTTCAACAAACTAGCATATGTGTTTAGACTGTTTATACAATCGTACTAATTTCTGAAAATTATTTTAAAAAAGACTATTCGCGAATGCGATAACAATTTTGCGATCTGCAACTTAACTTTAATATTAATTAACCGATATTAGATTATATTATACCGTTGATTATATGGTTGGTTACGTTATAATCATTGTTATAATCATTGTAACGTAATAACATACAGATGATATTAGCAGCTAGATTAATGCCATTAATATGTATAAAGATAGGTATTAATTAAAGCACGCGAGAGGTCAAATCTGTCTGTCCGCGCGACTATTCCCAGTTGTGCCTGTGTTCGTGAAATTTTATTATACTCGAAGCAAACCGCGGACAGCTTGACTGACGTATCCCAGAGCACGTAGGCCGTGTACAAGGCACCTGTCACGTATTCTCACATTTTTTTTCCTTGTGGAATAATCTCTTTTCCGCGTTGTGATCGAACACGAAACGACGTCAACGGCGCAACGACCCATTATACTTCTCAGTCTAGTCAGGTATCGTCATGTCCTTCGTGTAACACCGATGCGATGATACTAATACCTCGTCAGGCGAAAAATTGCAAAACTCGACTTACAACGTTTCCCCGCCATTCGTCTAAATCAGCAAGCGTCGAAAATTTATATATTTTTCTGCGAAAGTCGAAATCACATGTAATTTCAAATTTCTGCTCTATCTCATATTTCTACCATCTCCTCTCTGATATTTATTTCACGTATCCCGTGTATGTGATGCACTGAAGCGATGCATACATTTTAGCGTAATAAAGCGCAAAAAGTAATTAGTATTGTAAATATTCATCTGACGGTGAAACATCATATTAAAACTATTTTTACACTGGATCTCATGGAAATGGCGGCTTTGCGTCTCTCGAGATTATAAACGCAGCAACGGAACAACAGAATTCAATATTGTTGCGCGTATAACATTCGATTAATCATCGTACATGCGCGTGGAAGAGCGTATTCCGATGGAGTGAATGATCGCGTTGCCCGTACTGCTAGCCGGCGGCCCATATTATTTGATCATTAGCACCGTTAATTACGAAACCCCGCGCTTTGTGCTCATGGCGTAACGGCGACTCGCACGAGCGCGAACGCGCTTGTGCAATGCGCGTGAGTTTCATTATCATTTTCGCGATGGCCCGCATAACAGCCGTATAATATGAGAAAAACGTCGTTCCCGTCATCGCGCACGTCGAGAGATTGGCGTGTCGCATGCGCAATTTTATTCCAATGCGCGCGATATCACAACCGTACGGAGCGCTCGTTAGCGACCAGTTAATTAGAAATACCCGCGAAGATATTTCGTTGAATAACGCTCGCTCATCGGAGTGTATAATTTTAATAAATTCCTTGTACACGGCGCCGTCGGATACCGTGCATTTTCGGTCGACTGAATTCTTTCGCGCATTTAAAAATCAATTTTTTTCTACGAGATTCGTATAAGTGGTCGTCACTGTTACGGTCGTTACGGTTTTATTTTCTAAATCTTCACGTCTTAATAATTTATAAGTGTTAAATAATACTCAATTAAATTTATAAAGATGGCATTAAAACAGTCATCATTCTTCCTCTCTGTTATCGCAAAGTGCACGGCTTTTGATATATAATACAATACTCGATTACGCACGCAGATTGAATCCCGACAGATCAATCCGTCTTTTTCCACGCGAGAAATTACTCGCACGTGAATTTTTCTATCAAACAATCGCTATGCTGTGCACCTAATATCGAGATAGTGATATTTGAAGGAGGCTCTTCTGTCTGTCAACGAGAATGACAATAACGACGATGCGTTTGTCGTCCATATGCACTTTGTGTCAGAGTCGGTCCTCCAGTTTCGCGAGCTGGGAGAGATGAACGACATTTCTCAGACGAATCTAACACCCGCTCTCCTTCCCTTACAAAGGAACCTTCTGTGTCGCAATAATGTGTAAATCGCAAGAGACAGCCCGTCATGCGACGAAGAGACAATGGGATCCTTTGACACATACGGACGTCGTTATTTTACACCCATCATTCATTTTTGCGCTGCGCTCACAAAGTCTCGCGCTCGCGCATATGCTTCCTCCTCGTTTTCCTCGTTTCGTTTCTTTAATGCTATTCGACACGATTCTTTCTACTACGAGCAACTTTCTCATATCGTGTTACAAGAGTTTAATTTCAAAAAAATATATGTACAGGAAAATCTCAATTTTAACGTATTTATACTTTTCTTCAAAGCAGTTGTGATAATTCAATTTTGAGTTGTAACTTCTCAACCTTAAATCACGTCATTCTCTTTAATTTCATTCAACATTCTATAAAGTATTTAAAAATTTTTTACATATTTATTACTTTTATATAAAAATTATTAATTTTATTCTTTAATTTTTAAATTATTCTTCGGCAAGATTGATAACTTGATTTTTCGTTAAGAAAGTATTACATCTGACAGATTTAGCTCTTGCACCGCTTTTTCGGAGACCCTTTCAATTGGCCGCGATCTTTCATACCAACCATTATTCGAGTCATGCGCGCGAAAGATAGATTATCGAATTAAATTTCATTGTCTTCTGCGGAATATCCTCGTCACGCCTCCTCCGTCATCCCCTTAGCAATGAAACGTTTCTCAAAGCGAGGTGCAAAATCCGCTGATGAAGTTTAGCCGCCTGAGCCACTTATAGAGAATCCTCGATCTTTAATCCATCCAAGATTTACGCTTCTTCCGACTACTTTCGCTCACAGATTATCTCCAAACCGCGTTTTGAGATTAACCCGGTAAAATATACAAAAAATGTATGATATAACAAATCTAATACGGTATGTATAAGATTATTATAATGCAATAGTTTGATGAACGTGCTAAAATGCCTAATTTAAACACGAATTCATTACAAAAACATTCAAATAAGTCGTACAGATATTCGACTTTTACTCGTTCGATTTTTTTCAAGATAAAAGTAATATTAGAGAGAGTAATCAATTGTCAGTTTTTTATTTTATTCGCTTCCGATAATATGCAATCACTTACATAGTTACGTAAATATTAGCTGCGTCCAATTTGCTCTACTAATGACCGAAATTATCGAAATCTTCGAATATTTGTGAATACACAACATCGTACGAAGCACGTTTTACATTTCAATATGCTGCATTACGCTGCGGAACCCCGGGAAACATTAATTCAACATAAGATCAAACGAACGGACGGCAAAAGCAATAGGACCAAAACGAGCATGAACTCTGCGCGAAGAACTCTTGTAAAAGTTATCGGGACTTCATTATCTCGAGGGAGGGGCGGAGAACGCACCGGTCGGAATCGTTTGATGGAGGGGGGACATCAATGACCAATGAAGGTCGGAAGGACGACCGAGGTAGCCGGAAGTCGATGGCAACCTCATCCCGTGCGTCTGCACTCGAGAAGCGGAAAAGCACTTTAGTCGCCGTCGCGTTTACGGCGACGGGGTTTCGGCCCGTGCACATGCTTAGGCAACCCGTACTGCACTCGACGACGAGACGGCCCGAAGAGCTTTCACTCGGAAAGGCGAAAGCCGCGGCTCGAGAGAGTCGAGGCCGCACTTGTCGCGGTACGTGTGCAATGTGTCGGTCCCCGCGCGCAAACGTCGATGCACTTAAGCGAGCGAAGTTCGTCTCTTACGGACATAAACTTTTAACGAGTGACCGTATATCGCTGGATGAAGGGAAAGAAGGCCGGTCTCTCTTCCGCGGTCACAAGAACGCACGAAAACACGCCCCGTACTTCGTTACGAACCGTAAAACGACATACAGATGGTGGTGCGGCTGTGTGTAACGCGCGTCCGTAAAGTTCGCAACGGCGTGGAGAACGGAATGTAATGCAGGTGGGACCGAAGACAAATAGCCATGGCTCGAAGCTTCGCGCAACAGGCACTGGAGTTACGGTACGTATCGGGTAATACGATTCTTATAGGATGAAGAGCCCGTGTTCCATGAACGGCGAGGGATTTGCGTCGCCTCCGTGAAACAAGACCGGATCGCGTGTTACGTAAATATCCGCAACACTATACATCATTATTATTAATAATATTGAAATCATTAAATAATAATAGCATTATTGTATCAAATATCATTTGGATAATGTTGAATGCTAATGCTAATTGAAGCGGTATTGTTGTCAAAAATTGCATTTAATGAAAAACTTCGGAAGATATTTAAGAATCGCTAAAACAACGCACAAAGAAGTCGTATGGATAAAACTTTTTCTGCAGTTTTATTCATGACAATATTATCAAATCTATGCAAAATAATAACAATGTACAGCTGCACGAACTGTGAATATTTTCGTGAGTATGTTTTAGAGAAATTATGTATTTATTACTGACGAAGAATGTTAAACATTGCAAAATACTGTAACGCGTAGTTGCGAGTTCTGTCGGAACTTTTGTGTGTGCGAACAGCACACACTTGTATAACAGTGGCAGAAAATATTACATATTATACGTTTTCCCGGCGCGACCTCGATATATCACACTACATGACAATTAGTAGCCGCATTATGTAGTTGTTGCATCCATGCATAATTCAACGATATCAACGACCGCGATATATCATTCGTCACTTGATAAAGCTACCCTTGAAATAAAACACCGTGGACGCGAAACGCGCGCAACGTTGCGCCGAAAGCAATTTCACGTGGATGAAGCAAGTTAAATGGAGAGCCGGATGAAGGAATACTTTCAACGCCGTCCAATAGACGTCATAGTGCAAACAGAAATCTACAAAAATATTTGCGCTTCCTAAATGCAACGCTACATTTCTTTATCATCGTGTAAATGATGAATGGAACGTCATTTGCACATAAAATTTGCACATTATTGTGAAACGGTAAAAAAGCATAAAAAAAGCATTACGC